GAATAGCCAATCAGAACGCTACACGTGTTTAGGTACTCTGAGACACATGTACGTGACCCCCCATTCTGTTGCCATATATTGTTGCGTGTTTGTAATTTTCTTGTCGGTTGTCGGCACCGTGATCAGAGCGCTGCTCCTGCACAGCAACACATGACACTCTAACGCCCTCTTGAAAAAAGCAAGCACTTCATGTAATTTCCCAAAACAACGAATGAAAAACATTATTAAAGCCCAAGTATTTTTGATAAGAGAATTAATAGACGAGGGGTGGAGTGGCAATTTGTTTGTTAGTTAGTAATGGTGGTGCGTAACGCCATTAAATATATTTGATATGGGTAGATCATGCTTAGATGTTGCGATCAGGGGACATAGGCAAAGATATCAGACTCAAGGGACTGAAAAGGAAAGGAAATGATGTGGTTTGGATATCAAAAATCAAAGTGTGACGTTGAGCCGTTGAAGGAGAGGCCTGATAAGATGGGCAATCGTCGAGGAAAGAGGAAGAAAGGGGACCCACCTACTTTAGACTCTGATGAGAGAGCGAGAATGAGTGAGTGTGAGGGAGAGCTTGATGTGCACGTCGCCACCACCATCAGCCAAGACCAAACAGCTTTGATTCTTAAGCAACATTGACTGATTCTTCCTCCGTCCACGTGGCGCTTCCCCATTTCCCACGTCTGGCCCACTCCCCTTATTTCGTGCCTTTTTCTTTGCCAGCGTGTTATTTCATGCTCGACTGACCGTTACCCACTTTACCCTTTAATTCATATCACTTTCACATTACTTTCTCGACTCTTAGGTACGAGTCATTTACACTTATTTTACTAAAATTTAAAAAATTAATTAAATTATTGACACCGTTTGACAAAATATTTCTCAATTTGCTTTTATTGAATGTATTGTTTTTAAAATTACTTTTTCTTTCTTGTATACAACACATGGAAAATTATGAAAGAGTGAAATTGAAATAAAATAATTAATCATTTGCCTTTTTACGTAAAGTGGCTTCTAAAAAATTCTACCAACTCTTTTTAAAAATGTGATTCACCTGTAACATAGGAAGGGGTGCAACAAAAATGTGTATACATGTAGTAAAAAAACGTTTCTTGTCAATGTGTGTTAAATTAAATCTTAAAAGGAAGAATGATAATGAAATACCTTCGAAATATGCAAATGCCAGATAGGTACTGTAAAAATAATAATTATTCTATAATCTCTGGGACTTTGATGGCGTTTTAATTTTTTGTGAAATGTCATATTTGTCCTTGTTATTTTCTAGATCTCTCCATTTGCTGAGTACTCGCCTATCATCATCAGGCTCAAGATCGAAGGCTATTGAATGCGTCACCCCTGTACAAATTTCATAAACCCTTCCTATCATCTTCATCGTCCTTTCAGCTCTAGGATTCAGATTGAAAAATATAAACAAAAAATACAAGCTCTAATAATCATAAATCCAATCAAAACTGGAGATGAAAGCTACAAATCTAGAAACCCATCAATCCCATTGCTGCCTACAACGGTGAAAACCTGCAAGGGAAAATGATGGAACAAGAAGCATCAAAGAAGGTGATATGCTGGTCATCCAAGGCAAAGGCTTCTACCAAAAAGAAAGGGAAGAGCATGGAACAAGCATGGAAGAGGAACAAATCTTGAACCCAGAAAGATGGTCCCTAGCATTCTATCCCACTGCAGTCGGCGACGACATGGTGGTTGTCCAAAGGAAAAGCCTTCAAATAGCTAAAGGCTACAAGATGCATTGCACAAGGACCTGAGAAGAGCAAGAGCGATGGCACTAAACATATTGCCGACGAGCACAAGAGTAGTGGAGGCAGTGTTGTTGGTGTTGCCAGAGCTCAAGGCCAAGGGAAGCTGAATGGAACAGCACTGAGAGTGTGTCGATGCCAAATGTATCAATGGTGGACTTGGTGGTGAACATGGAGAAGAAGGCCAGGGGGCATCAGCGGGAGATGTGAATGGGGTATTCAGGAGAGCAGCAAAGGGCCTTCTAAAACTTGAGGCCTGTGATGTTCCGCTTGTGTCCGTGAACTTCTTGCACTGATGCTTCTGCCACCATTATTGATTCCTCCCCTCATCAAGGTCCTCGGAGATGACATGCTCACAATAGTCGCTATCACCATCCCTCTCTCCGACCGAGTGCTCCACAAGTAGAGGGGAGCTAGAAAATGATAAGGGCGAATATGTCCTTTCACAGAAATTTAAACTGTCATCCAAGTCCCAAGGAACTAGAAAATAATCGTCAAATGCAATTTGCGGAATCTATTTGCCATTCGCATATTTCATCAGAGATATTTCATTATTATTCTCCCAATTTAAATATTATCACCAGCGTGTGTTTCAAAAGGATAATTAGAAATTATTTTTTATGTCTCTCTAAACTATGTTTTAAATTTTATGCACGACTCTACTAAATAAAAGAATAACGCCAACAAACAAAAGAATTGTAAATTTGAATGCAAATGGCGAACACGAAAATAGTTTTAGTTGATCTCTTACTAAGCAGGGGGAAATGACAGTTTTATCTAGTCCATATATATGCATGGTTTGGTGGAAGAATCGAAAAGAATGTCCGTGAAAGAAGAGAGTTTATAAAAAATTTATAAAAAATTAGATGCTAAATAAATAGCGCTCAGTCAATTTGCACACACCAAACTTAGGCGTGACTCACTTGCAAACATTTTAGGCATAGCAGGCGGCGCAGTGTGGTCCGTGATGATAGGAATAATCAAAGAGCGCTTGACTTGCCTACGTAGTCTCAGGCTCTCAGCCCCACTCTGGTAATTTCTGGCTTTCGGTCTTCGGAGCATGTAAGCAGCAACGACTGTAGGTCGTCCCCCAGCTTGGATGGTTAATGCATTGAACCATTTAGACCATGCATTCACTTTCAACTTAACCCGTTTGAGTTAGAGTTAAGTGAACACTATTATAGATAATTATGATTTTTAAAAGTGATATTAATTAAAGGTGATGTTGATAAATTATAATTTTTGTATGGATATTTTTTTTTTAAACGTGATTATGAAAAAGTTATTCTTGTTTGAATTGTATTCATCAAAATCACGTTTGGATATATAATTACCTAAAAGGTATTATTTCTATAATTATTATCATCAAATTTAATAATCCAAATCATTATTGATCATGATTGTGTAAACATTATCTAAATAGTGCGAATGAGCTTCGCAAACACTTGTGATAACTTGATTCAGACTTACGACTGGCTAGCCTGACGTCAACGAAGGTGGCAACAATGTGTCAATGTCACAATTCAATTCACTATGCATTGATTCATATGAGGCACCTATCCTAAAGTTAGTAATTCGTGCCAAATCAATCCAAATAAACCCAGAAAAATTCAAAGCTAGACTTAAATAAATAATACATTTTTAATGTTCGGTAACCATTCAAGCAGCCCAAATACCTAAATAACACTTTATATTTTTTTAAAAAATATATAACATATTAAATGTTAATTAATCCTATAAGTTTTATTTCATTTTATACTTAAAAATTATATATTTGAGTATATTATTTTAGATATTTACTTAAGAAAAATAAAAAATATTAATATTATTCTCAAATAAACTTAATTTGAATTGAGCCCACCCGTTCAAATTATGGGCTCTATCTATACTCCCTGGACAATGTGAAGGCATGCCTCAAAGTATTGTCACGTCCATGTCTCCAAAATATTAAGTAGACGTGAACGTTAATGTGGCCTGTTTGATAATAGGAATGAAAACGAGAAAGAAATATCCCAAAAGACCTTTTTAATGCATTTTCTCTTCCTTTAAACAAATTTTCCATGTTCTAAATGCACCTGTCCAGGGAAGACGATGGATCCGACCTTGGTTACACCCAGTGATCTAAGAGACTCATAAAGGGTATCTGCGCGGAAGACTCAATACAATCTGAATTCTGTTTCTACCTCCGATGACCCAGTTTCTTAGTTTACCCAGATATGCTTGAGCATTCTTAACCTCACCCGTAATCACTGAAACTCCTGCACGAGCCAACTCGTCGTGGCTTCTTCTTGCACAGCTAGGAATTAATATGGAGCTAGTGACTTAATACAAAGGTCTGGATTAGTCACTCTGCACGCATCTCTAGCATAATAGTTCCCTTCTTTGTTTTTGTTTTTTTTTTTTCTTTTTGGATAAAAACAATCGTTCCCTTTTGCATACAAAGCATTTGACTCGTGAGGAACGAAAGGCCCAAAAACAAGGCAAGAAGTAACGTCCTATAGAAAGACCCAACAAGACGGCACAGGATGATGAAACGGAGGATTGTAACACAGCTTCGCACCATGACAAATGGAGCGAGGGCTGGGCCCTTGCAAAGTAAATCTGATCACTTTATGGGACTTCTTCAAAGAGGGTTTATTTTATTGCCTAGGCAAGAGGTTGCTCAGTGCAATAAAAAATTGATGTGCATGATGTCCTAAAATACGTAAGAAAAGCAAGTACGATGGAATGGAAGACGAGTCTTGTAAATGCCGGATAAATGATAATAGTAAGGAGTAGACAATGAGATAATTACTTCATTTGCATTGACAGCATTTCGTTCTGCCCAATAATGGCAACAAACCCTCCCTGCTTCCTGCTTTGGACAAACGTAATGAGAGGCAGAAACAAACCAATGAAAAAAATCTATTTATGGCACGCCAAAGAGATAAAAACAAGCCTCTATCGTCAGCCAATAGACAATATTAGAATTACGGTATTTACGATAGGGCTGCTAATTTGGATCATGAATCATTCATTTATTAGTTGAATTCGTTCCAAATAAATTTATTTTTCTACAGTTTCTCAAGTGTGAAGTGAAGGTCTATGAACTGATGTTTCAAGGCTTGGGTGAGCCCTAAGGCCAAGGTTAATATTATAAACGCATAGATGTGGAGGGCAAATCTGTCGCTCCGCATTCATACCGACTAACACAGGACGAGTATCAACTATAGTAACAACTAGCAACACAAGTACTTCTATGCAAACTCTCAGCAGCCTCCTGTTGCAGCATATATTCTCAATTTCTAAAGCTGGAATAAACCGATTCTGGAATATCGGTCGGCTACAACATCGTTTGTTACCTAATGATGACTCTTTTCCATGCAATCATACAACAAATATATCTTATGGGGCAGGACAGATCGTCATCTTCCCCATCAACGTAATTTCATGTCCATTCCACCTACAAGAATTTTGAAATGCCAGATGTGCAACAAAGATGTTGAAAAGAATGCATTATTACCATATCTGAGCTGAAAATTTTAAGCCATTCTCTTAAAAGCACTATCAACAGTATTATGTGATTCTAACCAAAAAAAAAAGGTCTGGAAGAGGTCAAAATGTCAGAGCACTGAGTTAAGCTCTTCCCTCCCATCCATGGCTACTTGGACTCCTGAATGCTTTCCTCTGAAGGAAGTTCAAGCATTGCCCCTGCATGCTCTTGTCCTGGCTTCACTACTGCAGCAACTCAATTTGTTAATAGGCGGGAAAGAAATGCATGATCTACAACTTTTATTGAACAAATCACTTGACTCTAGAAACAGGAAAGAAAAGAAGAAACTAGATAGGAGATGACAAATTATTTGTATTCAAAATTATAACAAAAAATGAAAAACTACTCTCACTTTTTTTTAGCGATTCACCTGCACTAGTCAACGCGTGAAATAGCACTAGTCATCCATGTGGGTTTGGGTATGAACAGCCAAAATAGATGACTTAGAATACATAGACAAGGCAATTTTAAATTTCGTGGAACATGACATGATAGGAAAAAAATATAGCACTCTATATAAGCCTTTCACCTCAAAACATGACTAACTTAAGACCCGTATAGAAAAAGATTATTGACAGTTGATCCCAGATAAATTAGCCAAGAATTGAAACTGGTGACAACATTCAAGGGCATTTGTTAACACTTGCATGAAAGGTAGCATTAACTACTCAATTGACATTGGAAGGCAGACAGTGATTCAAGACTGATTCATGGATGCAATTTTTCTTTCGGTGAATTATTCCATACATCATTTTGTTTCAGGTGGGACGAGGGTTTGTCAAATTTGGAAATCCCATGGTCCAGTGAATCAGATATCCAGCGGCTGCTGCACTAGCCCTATGTTTGGTTGGGGGGGAAATTTCCCCTCCCCTCCCCTCCAAAACCTTCCTCTCCAAATTGGGGGATGCCCTCCTCCCCTCCCCTCCCCTCCTCCTCCCTCCATCCCCTCCCCTTGAACCAAACAAAGCCTTAGGGTGTGTTTGGTTGAGGGGGGGAGGGGAGGGGAGGGACTCCCCTCATTTGGTTAGGAGGAGGGGAGGGGAAATTTTTAAAATTTTCCCTCCTCTCCCCTCCCCTCCAAAGCCTCCCCTCCAAATTGGGGGGAAGCTCCCCTCCCCTCCCCTCCCCTTATTTGGATGACACAAGCTCCCCTCTCCTTGTTTGGTAAGGTGGACGGGAGGGGAGGTTTTTTAAAATTTTTCCTCCCCTCCCCTCCAACCAAAGAGGCCCTAAGGCTATGTTTGGTTCAAGGGGAGGGGAGGGGAGGAGGAAGAGAGAGGAGGGGGAGGGGAGGGGAGGGGAGGGGGGCTCCCTCCCAATTTGGGGGGGAGGTTTTGGAAAAATTTCCCCTCCCATCCATCTAACCAAACAAGGGGAGGGGATCCCTTGTTTGGATGGGACAAGGCAAACGGAGGGGGGCTCCCTCCCCTTGTTTGGTAAGGTGGAGGGGGAGGGGAAATTTTAAAATTTTCCCTCCCCTCCCTCCCAACCAAAAAATACCTAAGTAGCATCTATACATATAAAATCTAAAAAATTTATAAACCATGAATAGTGCCATTCACTTCAGACGTGTTAAGTACAGAACAGCAGTCTACTTAGATTTTGAACTCTTCATTCAATAAAAAAAAGATTTCACTTACTTCTACCTCAGTCCACATAATTAAATTCAAATAAGTCATTACATGATGTTATTTTAATTCCTCCACAATATAACAACGGTTCCTTAACATGTTCAATATTTCAAAAGTAGTCTCCCCAACAGAATGGAAACCTCAAGGTATTGTCTAAAGCACTCCATTGAGCTCTCTGATATAGCAATATAGGTTTTCATGTTAAAATATCATACAGTAAGACATTTTTATGAATAAAAAGATGAGAGTAATTCTGCTCCGACCGTCAACACTTGTATAAGACGCAGTGAAATGTAAAGTTCAAGCAGCAGCAAAGAACCAATGCCGACATGCGGATAAAAATATATGTATTATTCTAATCTCAAAGTTTTGTACTGTATAACAACATATTTGATGCCAAAAGCAGAATGAAAAAGCTATGTCAAAACACTTTTGAATGGGCTTAGATGAGGAGGACTACGGCAAATGCACATTCAATGTTCGTAGCAACAACTAACAGCTGTGAGATAGAAATTACGTCTTGACCTTCCATGAAAAGTTGTCACGAGAAGAAGAGGACAAAGATTTCATTTTGAAGTATGTATGTATTGAAATGGGTGCCACGTATACAGCTCCGCGAAAGGAAAGAAAACCGACATAAAGCAATAGAGACGAATCAATAACTTAAAAAATTATATGGAAATCAATCTATCAAACAGATGGAGTGCATGAAGTAGCAGCATAGAAAAATGAAAGAATTTGATGGAGTGGATGAAAGAAAGAGGATCTATTACCGTAACTGCCGGAGCCAGGATTAAGCTTTGCCTGGACAATCATGTGGGTAATAAAATGGGAGGCCTCACTAGCGTCTTGAAGTAGCCTCTGGATCTCGGAGTCAGAGGTCACGTTCCTGTTCTCCTCGAATTTTTTACGCACCTCCCCAGCCGATTCCTTCAGCATCAGTGCGTCACCAGCGAACGTTTTCCGAGTAGCTCTCAGAAGAGCTCGATACGCACTCAACACTTCCCCTCTCGCCATTTCGGATTTCCCCGTGCTCCAGCTTAGTGCTGCTTCTCCGCAAAGGAACCTTGTACGGGAAGCAGGATGATGTCAAATGGGCGGAAAAGGTTATGCGACGTCGTTTGGCCCCCTTTCCCCTTCTGAAGTGTCCATCATAACTCACAGGTTCTATGAAGGCCTTGATTTTATTTTAGTTTCCTGTTTTTCCTTCAATTTCAGTTCGAACATGTGGCAGAGAGTCTTGGAAATAATTTTATAAGCAGTATTGCATATGCTAATTGGCCTCAAGTCTTTGAAGGAGGTGGAGCATTTATTTTTTAGGATGAGGTTAATGTGAATTTTATTGAGGGCTCCTAACATGTGTTTAGAATTCCAAAGGTTTTTCACCATTTTAACAATATTTTAACTAATCGTGTCACAAGTTTTTGGAAAGGACAAGCATGGAAACCACTTGGACCTGGGGCATTGTCTTTAAGGAGGTTGAAAGTGGCAATTTTAATTTCTTCATCAAAGATGGGTAAAGAGAGAAGATTTTGATCATCCTAAGTGAGACGGGGTAAGACAATTGGATGAAGCTGGTGAAGTATTTGTAAATAGCTTAGGAAGTGTTTTGATGAGGAAAAAATGTCATTGAAATGGTGCCAAGCGAGAGATTGAATTTCCTCTTGATTGTTTGTCCAGGAATGATCGAATCTTTAGATGCACTGGACAAAATCTCTTGCCTTCCTTCTAGATACCATGGATTGGAAAAATTTAGTATTTCTCTCACCTGCTAGGTTCCATTTTAGTCTTAACCTCTGTCTCCAGTAACTATGTTAGCAATCATATAGGAAATCAAGTGGATGTTTCTTCTCTAAGAATTCATTAATTAGATTATAGTCATTTGACAGGGAGAGAGCCTCAGAACATTTGTGAATTTCTTGTTCTAAAATTTTTATTTGAGGGAAGATGATCAATAACAGAACGACTTCAAGAGGCAAGGGAGGTTAGAGTGCAAGAAATTTTGGATGTATGGTTGAAATATAAGATCTTGAGCATGAAGATGACCGACTGCTTTTTGTAATGGATGAGTAGTCTTTGTAGCCGCACCAAAGAGGTTCAAATCTCTTGAGGATGGCTTTCCTCACAGGAGGAGTAGAAGTTGAGAAGATAATGGACGAGTGATCAGAAGCTGTAAGGGGTAGGTTTAGAACAGTAGAAAAAGGAAAAGACTCTACCCATATGAGGTTGCGAAATGCCATGTCAAGTTTTTCTCTAACATTAAAGGAAACTTTTTTGTTGTTTGTCTAAGTGAATTTAAGACTAGATTAAGGAATTAAGACAAGTTGATTAGAGTTAAAACAATTGTGAAATTCCTCCAGACTACTAGTGCAAGGGTTAGAACTAAACTTATTCGGGCTATAAATAATTTAATTAAAGTCACCAATAAGCAGCCGAGGTAGAAATAAGATTGGCAAAATTAAAGTAATCCATGACCATAGGATGTGTCTATGAAGAAGAGAGGGTGGTTCGTAGATAAAAGATAGATAGATTCAATTATAGTGTTATTGGTTCAAAATATGACAATAGATGAAAGGGGAGAGGAATTTGTAATAGAAACATTACAGTTTTTGTTCCAAGCAACTAGTAATCCTCCTCTCTTGTTACAAGCATATAAACTAAAAGAAAACAAATATCCTAATGAGGAAACTATAGAAGAGGCAGCTATAAAGTTGATTTGGTATTTGAAAGGAAAATAAAATCAAGGCAATGAGACTTTATGAGCAACTACATAAGGTGAACCAGGCCATAACAATTCCAACTTAGGATGATCATGGCTTCTTGGGAAGCTTTTCGGAGGCCACTTCCCTAGCCTTTAAGCTCCTATTTTTTGAACTCGGAGGAGGTAAATGTAGAGCTTTAAGCTTTTGTGTACCAAAATTCACAATCCAAATAGTCAAAAGTTGCCTTTTTCTAGCTGTAAGAGATTTGAGTTGATCAATAGGCAAGTCTTTCTTTTATTAGTAGAGTCAGGATGAGACTTCTCTAAAGAAGATCTTGGCTTCTTAAGGGCAAAAGTTTTCTTAACTAAATCAATCTTAAAGGCTGAAGAGCTTAAAATGGGAGTGGTAGAGATTTTGAGCAATAAGAGAGGGTAGTTGAATTTGGCTAAAAATGGGGGGTCTACTAAAATAGGCCAAGTATGATTCAACAAACCAAAGTTGTTATTGGCAATATTGAGATCAGGGGGGTGACGGTGAAGGAGAATATGATGTTGGAGGGGAATGTTGACCTGAATGAGAAGAAGTTTTCCCTTATTAGATACATGCTATAAATGAGGAATGAGGCATCGAAGAGTTAATGGATAAGTGGAGGCTTGCAAAGGGGCTTTCAGCAAAGGAAAAAAATGCACCAATGAGGGTTAATTGTTGGGGTAAAGACTAGGGTTGTGCAAAAGTCCTTTAGCATGGTTCGGTCTAACCCAAGACAAACTTGGTTTAGATAAAAACTTATCTTTAAAGAGCAAAAAAAGCAAAAAGACTAGACTCTTTCTTCAGGATGGATTAGATAAGAGATTGAGCATTTGGACTATTTGGTCTAATCTAATCTTGTAAATTTATTTAATATAATTATAATTAATTTATTAATTATTATTACAATAAATTAATTTATAATGATAATTAGTAATTTTTCATGTTTTATGCTTGTAAATTCACGAATATTGAGCAAAATTCTAGCATTAACCAACCACACTCTTATCCTTTTATTGGCTAAATTTATTGTTAACTTGGTATAATAGAGTTTAGACATGCTAAAGGTTGTTTAATGTTGCTGAACGTTGTTTATTTTGAATCATTTGTGTGATAACTGAAATATTTTTTATTGTTGTTGAAGATTATTATGGATTTATAATTGTTGTTATTGTGATAAATTTTATATAAATACTAGTAATTTTATTATGTTAATTGAGTTTACTGTGTTGAAATAAATTACTACCTCTCATAAATGAAAAGGGAAAAAACAAAGTAAGATACTTAACAAGACTAGGACTAGTCTCTTAGTCCTACTACATCATTCTGGTCTTGTTCGACTTCGAGTTATATTGGGACCATACTGAATTATGAATTGTCAAACTCAACTCTTTTTATGAAAAGGACCAGACTTTGGGTTAGGCCGAAATCCTATAGGGTCAGTCTTTTGTGCAACCCTAGTAGAGAAGGTAGAAGTAAAGGTGCCTTTTTCAAAAGTTGAGAAGTAGAGGCTACTGCTGTTTTGGATTACTAGTTCAAGAGACAATAAGGATGAAGGATATATACACTGGTTGTAAATCTTAATGAACAGGCAGAAACCATCAAGAGGCTAGTCATGACTTTCACAAAAAGAAATCCATTTATGGATAAGTTGACTCAGGAGAGAAGGCTTATAGGGAGCAACAGACCATTTATATTTATGCAAAATAGTATTCGCATCTACGAGAGTGATTTGAGTACAGTTATCTCCTCCATCAGGTTACTTGCCAAGAGCATGAAAATAGGACTTCAGGAATTGATCAACTTTAAAGTCCAAACTATCCATTGAGTTTCCCAAGCACTGTCTCTTTGAGGGGGAAGTGTTGAGGTAGTATTAGAAAAAAAGCTTGATAACTCATACGTAGGCAGATGATTGAAGATGTCTTGATTTGGGGGGATAAGGAAAAATATTAAGAAGGCATTTCTTGTTATGGCTCGAAGAGGGAAGAGATAGGGAGCTTGAGCGTGGGGTACCAGGTTCATAAATTTTAAGTGGTTGAAAACCAGGCGATGGAGAGGGATTTTTCTATATGGGTGAAAAATATAAAGTAGGTGAGAAAAAAGGAGGGATATCCAGTAGATTTGGGAAGAGTGTGGAGGGAAGTACTTGGTTAGTGTGAACGAGGAAGTTATTGACAAGGTGATTTACATTAAAATTATGAGGAGGTGGTTGAGCAATAAAAAAAGCTGGAGGGTTATTCTTATTATGGTTTGAGTTAAGTGGGCCATCATCTAAGTTAATACTTGAGGAGTTAGGGTTAAAAAAGTTGAAGACAAATGCAGGCCTGTCTTCTTCACGGAGTACAATTGCTCTGATCTTGTTTCAAATATTCTATATTCTGAAGGACCCCTAAGGTATGCAATTCTAATGGTTCCTTGGGTTCTGTTTCTTCAAATCCAGTTATACCAAGTATTTATAGTGGGGTTATGTTTAAAACTTCCCCAAATTTAACCACCATAAAGCTCTTCCAACCTACCATGAACATAGTTGAAGCTAGCTAAAGCATCATTGATAGCATAGAGGCATTTTGGTGTGGTATGACTAAGAACCCAATAAAAATGGCAATGGCAAAAAAATCTCTCATAGATGATTTTAATCCATGCAGGCTCTGCATTGCTAAAAGGGATGCGAATTCTTTAAAGAAGAGGGATCCTTAAATCAATGAGAACTTGAACATAAAGGAAGTTTAGAGAACTCAAATACATCACTTGGCCATTATCAAAAACAAAATAACTGATGGTGTCACCTAAAGTGGCGGTATTAGTGCTTGTGTGATATTTTAGTGGAAGACCCCAAAACTAAACCTAAATAAGAAAGCTAAGAATATGAAGATCTTGCAAGAGATTTGGAATCCAATGATCCACAAGGAGGAGTGAGTTATGATTGGACCAAGGGCCATTAAAGGTGAGAAAGTCATGGTCTTTAATGCTATTAAAGCTTATTAGGAAGAAACATCCAATCTTTCTAACCACGTTGAAGTTACCCAAGAGATTCTAGACTTTGTTTGAGTGCGAGTCAGTCTTCTAGTTGTGAAAGAATGAGCATCCAAGACAACAGAAAATGACACAATTTGTTAGAGAGAATTTTAAATCTATGCGGATTAAAAGTAAGGCAAGGTTGAACAAGTTAATTCATAATGGAGTAAGTTGGATGGTTCATAGACAAGGAAAAGCTAAAAAGCAAATTAAGATGAAAAGTAACAACTAATAAATAAATTGAGCTTAAGAATATATGATAGATACCGGAAATGAATAGTTGGAAAAGGGCACAATTGAGAGGGCATAGTGATAAGGGATAAATAGTAATGGATTTAAGATAGATTCTAAGAGGGTGAGTATAGGGAAGGCATGGAGTTTAAATTCAAATAGATGGAATAT